TGCAGGATTTCCTATCACAAACCAGTCAAGATGCCATACTCTTCTGCAAGTTCCCTGACAGTCAAACGTCGATTTGCATGAATGAGATCGTTTACTTTTTTGATGTGGGGTCATCAGTCAATGTTGATGGTTGTCCGGAATGCTTGTCATCTTCCACTGATTGCTGTCCCTTTTTGAACTGGGTAAAAACCACTCATAACACGTGGTACATTTCATAGCATCCTCATCATAAGCCTTGGTAATCAACTCAAAAGTTTCCTTGAAGGATTTCCAGAGTTTCACACAGAATTTCACAGAACAACTCTGCTCCTTCAAAGAGCTCATTTTCGCAGATCCGATTTTTTGCCGAACCCCTTTCACATAAATGGCCAAANGAAAGATTTGAAAAAACAGTTATTCGTACTAAGCGTTCGATTTACGATTTTGTTGTTTATTTTGTTACTTATTTAATTTTATTTTCTTGAGAAAGGTCTTTTAACAAGACTGAAAACGTTTGAAAGTTGTTATAATAAAGCGTTGGCTGCAAGAAAAGGTGTTTTAATAAGTGTTTTGATATTACAATATGCAGTCTAGAAAGAATTACATAAATGGCCATAATTAATTACCAAAATAAGATATCAACAGACAGGTTGAAGGCGGTTACTCTGCAGGTTTCTACAGACAAAACGCAACGCCTCCAAGTGGATTAAAAAATAACCAACTGGAGGCATGCTATTTAAAAAAGTTCGGAAACTTTTTGAACAGACCTTGTATTTTCAATTTCCAAAATGAATAAAGTTTATTATGAGAATATTTTCAGCTTCTGCTGAAATCAGATTTTCATAATCATAAATTTCCTGTAAAAATAATTTTTTATAGTTGATGTATTTAGTTTATAAAATAAAATATTAAACTGTTCAATTTTATGAAAATAAGTATTATGAAATTGCAAAATCACTAGCAGTGTTTTTTAAATAGGAACAAATTATGATTTTGAGAAATTTTTAAGCCAATAAGAAAAATTTCTCTTAGTTATTTGTAAAACTTTGTCTTTTATTGAATGTGTTTCCAATCTTCCTTCATTTTTTAAAAAGAAATAATTATACTGCAATCACAATTTATATGTATTATACAGTGTTGTCATAAACTCCTGCTCTATGTTTTTAAAATGATTAACGGAAAAGATGATTGACCTAAGATAATACAATTTGCAGCAATAGAACAGCTTGGTTTTTTGAAACTAAATGGAATCAGGTAGTAGCCAAAAAGTTTGATAATTTTAATTACTGTACATTCTCACAAGAGTTGCTTTTAATTGTTACAGGAATTAGTATACAAATCTTAAATAAATGGAATTAAAAATATTTTTGTTAAAAAAAAATATTTAATGAAAACTTTGTTGCAGCAGTTAAATAATTTAAAATTAACTTTCCTGTGTTAAACATAATTCTTGCTTGTATATTGGTATACTTATTCTTTTCTGTTAACATTTATATCTTAATTTTATTATAAGATCTATTTTTATATAAATGACTCTATTTAAATATAATACCAAACTCAAAAAACAAGCACTTGGAAGATTAGAGTCAAATATTATATATACTGCTAGACAGAAAAAATGAAACACCCATAAAGCATAATCCAAATGACCCAATCATTTGCCCATACATACTACTCAAAGGATTACACAAATGCAAATGAGACAAGAAATACATCTGATGAAACAAACAAAGCATATGATATAGTGCAGCAGTCGGCAATCAATGGTCCGTGAGAAAATTTAGGTGGTCCTTGGAGAAATTTGGACATTGATCAACTGTAGGTTATATGAAGAAGTATTGTGAGAGACCAGATGAGATGGAAATTTTATTTAACGGCAACAAAATATATTGAATTTGTTAAGAATAATGGTTAAATTTCACATATTCTATAAAGAAAATTTTCTCAACAAAAAAAAACTGGACGGATGTGATTGCATCTTTCCCCGGATCTACTTCCTTTCCCAAAGTGACACATCTTCTGAATGTATGTGTCACCAGGAACTTTCATCCAAAATTCATCTAATTGGTCAAAAAACTTACCATTACCAAAAAAGGGCATCAAAATTAAGGGGGAGACCCCCCAAAAATAAAAAGACGAACATCAAAATCGACAGGAGAGTTTGCCTATCCCTATCCTTGTGTAAGTGTATTCCAGTCATCACCATTGCTGATCCCTTCTACTGCTGCTGTCGCCAGACCATAGCTGTGTTTACCTACCACACATTCAGCCATAAACTGTCCCATCCAGAAGGATTACCCAATCCACTTCACCCCTTTGTCAAGACGATCCATGGCATCAATCAACCTACCAATCAAGGTATTGTGCGTAATAATGTAAACTCTCTCTGTCTCTCTCTCTCTCTCTCTTAGTTAAGAACCTGTAAACTTCAATACAGTAATACTCCGAACTTACGCGATAGGTGGGACCGAGCGATAACCGCGTAAGTCGGGGTATAATTTTGCATATAAATATATACAAATAACACAAAATAAATTATAGCTATATGTCGAACACGTCCGAACATGTAAGTCGAACAATAGTGTGGGGGGAAATGAGTAATTAAGAGTTGCGTGGCGCTCAAACAAAAGACGAATCGACGAGATTTGAAAATAGCGTAACTCCGGATTCGCATAAGTCGGGGTATTACTGTACTTAGTTATGTTATGCTATATAGCTTTATCCTATTTAAGTTATCCCATGTAAATAATTTAATATTATACAAAAATAAACGGGTATTTATTTTTCAGTAAGTTGTAGTGTGCACTTCTTTTAGCTGCATTATCTCTCAGGACATCCAACTCCCGAATCCAATCGCTCATACACGTGACCACTCATACATGAATGAACGAATCACCATCGTCGATCCTGACAGGCATCACCAGTCTGGTGCCGATCCTTTGATCACAATTACAAAAGAAATGCAAAATGCTTAGTTGTTTTTTTTTTTTTTTACTCATTGGGGGTTTTTTATATGAATGTAAAACTAAATACAAAGTGACTCTTATCAATAAATAATGAACAATAAACAATATTGTGAGTGTGATTGTTGTTTTTTGTGGAAAAGCACTACAAATCCATAAACTCATTTCAAACAAGCAGTAACAAACTTTAGGCTTTCATTAATTTGTTATAATTAAACAAGTGAGTTTCATATTAATAAGGTAAAATTGAACCTTTATAATCGTTATTCTACAGATTTTGTATCATTTTAAAAAATTCACGATAATGGTCTGTGAGGTGCAGACTGCTGATATAGTGCATGCTAATTAGAGATAAGATCCTGAACAGGCTTTAATGGAATAAAGTGTTAACTTATTTGTGACCAAACGGTATGTCAGGATGTCAACAGCTTGTGAAATATCAGTAATTGAATCAATTTGACTGATGCCAGTTGGTCAGCTTGATGAAGAGCTACATACATGGGCTATGGAGTCAACACTCTGACACAGTGTCTTGTGGGAAAACAGGGTGCACATCATGTAGGTGAAATTCTGGTGCAATATGTTGCACTACAGAACATCAAGATAGACATCTGACAATGTGCTACCACCAACCTAACTGCTACATAACTGAACATTCACAGAGAATTTGAGATGTCTGAGACCTTCACAATAATCTGCTTTTCCAGAGGACTATCTATTGGAGATTGAATGAGACTGAACTACAATCTCAGCATCATTTGCCTTTGACACCAAACTATCATGCAGCATATCTTCAGTGATGCATAGAACATTGGAAATGGGTGCAAGAATAGCATTGCATTGCCTTCTCAGATGAGTATTTCTGAGTATGGACAATGGGTATATCAGTGTAGGGCAGTATGGCACTGCAGAGATCAATTTCAGCACTCCACAGATATTTGTGAGGGTCATAGGTTGCCTGCACCTGGAGTTATGATATAGGCTGCCATTAGATATCATTCCAGAATGTGTCTTGTCTTTGTGCAGAGCTCAGTGAAAAGCCACTGATGTGTCAGAGATTCTACGCATCCATTTTCTGCCCTTTCTAGAGCACATGCCTTTTGGCATTGTACAGCACAATAATGCACGGGCACAATCACAGCCATCATGCAACAAGCTCTACAAGGCATTGACACCCTACCTTTGCTTCTAAGATCACCAGATTTATTGTCAATAGAGCATATGTGACCAGCTGGAACATTGTCTGTTGCAATGCCAGAAACTTAAATGCAGAACTTTGATCAGGGATTGTAAAATCAAGCCTTTGTTGGTGTAGCATTCTGAAAATCCTCGAGCATTTAAGGCCCATAATGTACTAAAGGAGAAACTCCAAGTTATGTGGAAGGCAAATTCAAAGGCTTGGGTTACTCGACCATTTTTTGTTGAATGGGTAAATCTGGTCTTTGGTCCAGCTGTCAAGAAATATTTGCTGGAAAACAACCTGCCTCTGAGATGTTTACTTATCCTTGACAATGCCCCTGCTCACCCCTTGGTCTTGAAAATGATATCTTTGATGAGTTCAACTTCATTAAGGTCCTCTACCTACCACCCAACACCACCCCTATCCTCCAGCCTATGGACCAGCAGGTGATTTCTAACTTTAAAAAATTTACTTTACACATCATTTACTTACCATGTGTTTGGTCTCTTATTGTGCATTTAATAAACTTCCAATGACACCTTCTGGATGTTTCACTTTTTCTGTCCAGCATTGTAAAATGTTCACATATACTTATGTGTGTACACATGTAAACATTAATTTTACATGCATATATATATATATATATATATAATGATAAATGTTATCATTTATCAAGACTTTTTTTTGCCTTCATATTTCTGAGGATTTGGATTTGAAGATGAGATAAGAAAAATCATTTTTGAAACTGTCTTTACATACTTTTCCATGTAATCTTTCAAGCACTTGTTTTGAGTTTATATATAATTTTATTAGAATAGTTTTTAAAATATTTTTTTTTTTATTGAATTAAAAACTATTTGAAATAATCTTTTTTCCAGACCATGGAAAATATAGGACTGGACAACGATCAGTATTATGATAATATTAAAGCCTGTGAAATATATCCAAAAAAGGAAATACTAAAGGATGATCCAAATCTCAAGGTGCCTTTTGCAGCACTTCCTGGTGAAGGTGTTGAACATATTGGTTGTACTACAGAAGGTATAATTGTTCTATCAAACTATAGATTTTATCATCATACCAAGGATGCTGTTTTTAATATTCCTCTTGGGCGAATAGAACAAATTGAGTGTCGAGATATATTTTTCCTTCATATTTTTTGCAAAGATGCTCAGTCATTCAGGTATGTAAAACTTATAATTTTAGATATATATATATACTTTTTAATAATAGAATTCTCTTTGTTTTACATGTTACATGTGAAAGAAGTTTTTTGTTACACCAAAATAAAATTCAGATAAATGATTGCATATTATATTCTTACATGAAATAATTTAATTGGTCAATATTTTTTAAACAAAAAAATTTAAATTCTAGATATTCCAAATGATAAACAAAACATATTTTAATAATTACAAGAGATGCAAAAATAATTTTTGTTATTGTAGATTATATTATGAATTAAATTACATAAATTTTGTGAAAATTTTTCAAATACAGTCGACCCCCCCCTATAAGATCATAGATACGTTCCATTCTTTAGGAATCCGATTTCTTACGAGTCCTTCCAATCACAGCCCGACACATGTCAAGTTTACGGACTACGGCTGTTTGAAAGGTTTTCTTCCATAAAATTAATTGATTCTAGACTAATCCGACTCAACATTTCCAAAATACGTATATATTTTTTGGAAATAATCCGTATAAACTACGCTATAAACAAAAAATTGTAGGATTACTTACCGAGTGTGCACCATTTGACATTGCCATTGCTAAAGCTTGTTTTCGTCACGGAACAGCTCAGCAAATAGCGGTCGATTTCTAACAACTTATTTTCTGCGAAAATTTCATTGAACTTTGGAGACATCATTAATATAAATAATTTTAATCGCCGTTGAATAAGAAATGTTTCTTTCACAAGAAATGTATAAAATTACAGTACTGTATTAGACTTACGGTACCTAATTTACATACTGACAGACGATAGTTAGCGTAAAAATCTCCGTAGCGTGGCGCCACGCTAGACGGCGGAAATTATATATTTAATTATAACAAAGTTACAATAAGTTAATATATAATTATATATACAGTACCTAATTTATATATAATTAATATATAATTATATGTACAGTACCTAATTTATATATAATTTATATAATACTGTCCAGACGATAGAAATCTCTCCGTAGCGTGGCGCTACGGACGTGGGAAAGTAGTCCGGCTGCCCGATGACATTTTACGTAATTATAGGAGTTTTTTTACCTTTTTTTATGGATACCGTCACAATTTTTTCGCAGTTTTATAGGAATCGTAATTATAGGGGGTTCGACTGTATTATAAATGGGCAAATATCACTTTTTTTCAAATATCAAATTTTGAATATTTCAGAAACTTGAATACCTCCAATACTTGGTGAACTTTAACTAAATGATTTACAAAAGATAATAAACAATTTTATTTAATATTTATCATTTAACTTTATTAGTTTGTTAATATGTAGAAATAAGTAAAAAAGTAAAAAGAAACAATTTATTAAATTCCAAGAAATGAAGCTTTAAGCTCTTTATTTTGACTTTGAGTTTTACAGTATGTTCTTTTCAGTACCATTGATTAATTTAATGTAGTTAAAATAATGATTTTTCTGATTTTCACCAACTGCAGATTTTTATCTATGAAAATAAGCATTCAAACACCTTCACGATCTAGTCTGCTTCTTTTCTTATGGCAAATTAAACCAGAGGTACTGAAGACAGGTTGCCAAATTGAGGATTTTTTCTTTAAAATAAAAATTTTCAAGTTAACTTGGAAAATGAGGAAGAGGTTTTAATTGGGAAATTTTATATTCTCAAAGGAGGAAATTGGTTAATATATAACCTTTTTATTGAATGATAATTTAGCTTATTAAACATTGTTTTTAAACTTTTTTTGCATCCTATATATTATTAGATTGACTAAATGGAAAAAATTCCAATTAAGCTTGTTAAATATCTATAGTTCTATTAGGATACTATTATGATTTTATAACAACATCCTGATATAACTAAAGATACAAAAAAAAAAAAAAAAAAAAGGGCAAGCTTTGTCTTTAATCTTGCATATTTCTTGATTTTGCTTATTTATTATATATTTGTTTGCTTTTCTATAAAATAAAAATGTGTGTGTATTGTAATAGGAACATAGTTTTGTAACCAAAAAAGTATTATTAAAATGTTTATATATGGTACAGTGGTACCTCAAGATACGAAATTAATCCGTTTCGAAACTAAGATCGTATCATGAAAATGTCATAAGGTGAATCATTTTTCCCCATATGATTACATGTAAAACCAAATAATTTGTTCCAACACGAAAAACAACACTCAAATTAAAGCTGAGTAGTACGTTAAAAAATAACTATAATAAGGAAAACACTGAAAAATGCATTTTATAGTTGTAAATGTATAAATAACCATAATAGAACAATAATTGATTTTAAAAAATGTAGTTTTATTTGCATTTTACCTTTGAGAATAGGTGACAACGGAGGTGTAAACTGGTGGCGGAAGAGAGAAAGAAGGGAAATGATACTAAAACTTAACTTACTTAACATAATGTAACAGTAACTTAAAAATAACTTAGAAAAGATTAAAAAATTAAAGTTGTTTTATATTCTTTTTTAATTTTTATTCACTGCTTTTTGCTTTCTTTCTTTCACTTCCTCCAGCACTTTCACTGGATAGAGGTTGCTTGGTAAAATATCTATCCAAAGAGGTTTGGCTTTGCCTACTTTTTAAAATGTTTCTAAAATGACTTAGGCAAATGTCATTAAACTGAGCAGCAATACGGCCAGTGTGAACTTTTTCGGGATGTTTTTTTTTCAATAAAATCAGTCACTTTCTTATAACATCTCAAGATTTCCTTTATTTCTGCTGAAGTTACAACCTCTTCCTCCTTGCCCTCGTCTTTACTGAACTGTTGAGGGATCTTTGTGTGTTGCATTGCCTGTAGCTCCTTCAACTCATCGGTGGTCAACTCGTCTTGATGCTCCTTGACGAGTTCATTGATGTCCTCCTCCTCAACTTCCAGCCCCATGGACTTCCCAAGTGATACAATTTTATCCAATTCAGGCTGGACTTCAGATTCAGGTTCGAATCCTTTAAAATTCCGCGGGGCAACAGCATCGGGCCACAACTTTCTCCAGGCTGAATTTATTGTACGAAGAGTCACTTCCTGCCAATCCTTCTCTATGATTTTCAGACATATTACTATGTTGAAGTGATCTTTCCAAAATTCGCGCAGTGTAAGATTGGTATTTTTAGTGACTTCAAAACATCGCCTGAACAAATGCTTGATGTATAATGTTTTGAAGTTAGAAATCACCTGCTGGTCCATAGGCTGGAGGATAGGGGTGGTGTTGGGTGGTAGGTAGAGGACCTTAATGAAGTTGAACTCATCAAAGATATCATTTTCAAGACCAGGGGGTGAGCAGGGGCATTGTCAAGGATAAGTAAACATCTCAGAGGCAGGTTGTTTTCCAGCAAATATTTCTTGACAGCTGGACCAAAGACCAGATTTACCCATTCAACAAAAAATGGTCGAGTAACCCAAGCCTTTGAATTTGCCTTCCACATAACTTGGAGTTTCTCCTTTAGTACATTATGGGCCTTAAATGCTCGAGGATTTTCAGAATGCTACACCAACAAAGGCTTGATTTTACAATCCCCACTGACATTAGCACAAAGGGCTAGAGTAAGGCGGTCCTTCATGGCTTTATGGCCTGGCATTTTTCTTTCTTCTGCTGTTATGTATGTCTGGCAGGGCATTTTTTTCCAAGAGAGGGTGGTTTCATCACAATTAAAAACTTGCTGTGGGATGTAACCTTCATTTGCAATCAGTTCTTCAAATTGCTTGCAAAACTCCTCGGCTGCCTTTCTGTCCGAACTCGTTGCCTCACCATGCCGTTTCACCGAATGTATTCCGGTGCGTTTCCAAAATGTTTCGAACCAGCCATGAGAAGCTTTGAAGTCGGTTACCTCAGCCGAGCTTTCACCCCCCTGGTCTTTCAAATCACTGAAAATGGAAGTGGCTTTCTCACAAATTATTGTTTCTGTGATCATATCTCCTGTTATTTCCTTCTCTTTTATCCACAACAATAAAAGCTTCTCCATCTCATCATATCTAGCTGTCCTTTTCTTTGAAATTGTTGTGAGCCCTTTCGAAGGATTCACTGCCTTTATTGCCTCCTCCTGCTTGATGATCGTACTGATCGTCAAACAGTTTCGGCCATATTGCCGAGCAAGATCACTAATACGCACTCCACTTGCATGTTTTTCTATTATCTCGTGCTTCATTTCCAATGTCATCATCCTTTTCTTTTTGTCACCACTATCACTAGCACTTGCTTTCTTTGGATCCATGGTTATACTGTACTGTAATGATAAAAAAGCAAAATAACACAACAAAATGATAAGATTGCAGCTAGTGAAATCCTTCCAAGATGAAGCAAACACGCCAACTGAAACCAATGAACAGAAGTGTCGAAAAGGAATCGTCTGGATGTTTTGTGCCTTTTTTTTCAAATGGGCAACAGTTGACGCCGTAGGAACTCAGATCGAGAAAAAACTGTTAGTTTTGAAAGCAGGTTAGCTGATTGGCCGCCGAGCATCAGACCACCAGGGACCGACGAGAGCACTACAAAGCGCTGATTGGTCAATCCATATAAAAAGACTGAGATTAGGCGGGAGAGTTGTTTGCCTAAGTTGAAGTTTGATAGAGTTTCATAGGAACTTCAGGTTAAAAACGTTTCTTCTAACTTGTAAGTTTATCTAAGGGAACTCAGGAGTTGGTCAAATGAACTTGTTGAAGCAAGGTTGCTTTCATCTCGTCTGTTTTCGTCAACGAACGCCGAAAGGAGTATACAGCTAATTACTACTCAAGGATTGTGTCATAAGGTGCCTTTTCGATGGACCTGTTCAGGATTGACTATTTGGACTCTAATTTATTTTGTGTGTGTGAAACCTACGTTGCAATTTGTAGCTCTTGTTAACATCGTAAGTTTATGTAAATTTTATATGTTGTTATAAATGTTTTGTGAACTGTGATTTTTGAATTTGATTAGAAGGAACATGTGATCATGGTGGTAATGCTGCAAACTAATATAATGTCATATGGTGAGTTTTTGTTCGTATCGTGGAGAAAAAATAT